TCGCTATGGCTTTTATTCGTTCTTCATAGCTCAGCTGTCACTGCTGGGTTTAAGAGGGTCAGTCACAGAACGCACGTGTGACAGCAACACACGACCCTCATGAAGAATAAGCAAGGGTGTTTTAAACGAAGTCTTGGCTGGGGTTTTCACAGTTGCTGTGGAAGTATGAAATTGGTGATGCTGCTCTGGAAGATACCAGGGTAGCTGCAGGAATTCTCTCTCTCTTACAAGATTTTGTGGAACTCAGAGAATGATCTTTCAAACCAAAGATTTTTGAATTTTAACTTCAGACGTTTAAGATTCACTTTTTGCCACGCAGCATCTCGTGTGTTTTGTGGTTTAACATATCCCTTTCAGGGCGAGAGACAGCGGGTTGCAGGGCTGCATTGCAAGTCCCGGCCGCTCAATACACAGCAAATGCTGCCCCTGGTGTTTCAGAGAAGGAAATACCCTAATTCATCCCTCGGCTGTTCAAGTTTTGTCCAGAAGACTCCGGCGAACGTTGCCAGCCCCTGGATACCACTATCATTTTGGTTTGGCTAGCTGTTGGTTTTCTTAAAAGCAAACGGTTCTTAACAACATCGTAACATCACTTGGCGACTCGTGTCATAGGCATTCTAATACACACATGCAAAAACATTAACATAACAGGTCCTGAATAATTAATCACCTTTTTCCTTCTGTCTACATTAATTTGTGACCTTTTTATGTGATACTGTAATCTCACATGGGCTGTCACGCTTGAGCATTTTTCCTGTGTGAATTCACTACTGCTGTCAAATCTCTGAGTTCCCTAAGTCGGCAGCCCCTTCCAGATCAGCAAAGCACCTATTTGTGCTGGGTTCACAGCCAGGAATTCTCACCGTCGACGTCCCATTGTGCTAATAACTTACCAAAAATGGAACAAAAAGACTGTGCTGAACCTATGTCGCTTAAAAACTTGAGTACGTGCTTAAATCTAGGCGCATACCTCGTTCATCTGTGTTTAGAAATCACGTGTCAAATTACTTCAAAGTTATAGTAACTCCACCGGAACGGCGCATGCTTAGTATCAGTCCTGTGGAGGATTCTGCAAACTAGAGCTTTGAATTTTCAGCCATTTCCATTATTTGCTTTTCAGCGAGGGTTCTTAGCCATTTTGAATGATTACAGTTACACATATGTGTATTTCCTGGGGTATTCCCAGCTAGGCAGGCTCACGTACCACGCTGCTCATGTACCATGCCGCTCAGCTGGTAAATTGTTCAACTTTGGAGCAGAGTCTGACTGCACCTGAGTCAGTTTTCTTGTCCTTCAGTTTTGGGCACAAGGTGCATGCAATTACTGCTCTGTTTAAACTGTAAAATAAGCCATCTTGAACACACACCATTTTTTTAATTAAGAATATAATCTCCAGAGCAATCTAAAGAAACCGTGCCTACATCTTATTTAATAAACAACAGGGAAAACAAAACAAAACAAAACAACCCCATGCCATCACTTAGTGCCTAGAAAAATACCAAAATTCACATAAACTCTTCAGGGAAGCGGAGCCACTGAGGGGGTTATTGTCAGGTTCTTCCAGTATCATTTCACGTATTTCTCGTATTATTCCTTGGCTGGTAGATCATACTTTCTTACATTCTTTTGTCTCACCTCTAAATTCAGATTAGAAATCGGTACTTCTTACTTCTCAAAGCAGAATCAGAAAGTCAACTTTGTAAATTCTGTTTTGTGTGTGCTGGATATTTCTCTTGGAGTGGTATTGTATTTACATGTGTTTATCTAACACACCCACTCTGTTTATCCAGACAGACTTAAAGAAGGATAAAACTACAAGTCTTTATTTATCCAAATAAAAGTAAACTAGAGGAGTTAAGCAT